GTAGAGCATCTGTGCCCCACAGCCGCAGCCCAGGTTCAGCAGCTTTCTGGGGGCGGCCGCTCTCGCCGACGGCGTCGGGAGTGAACCGGGCTGAAGGAATCCGGCACCGCAGCAGCTGGGGAGGGGGAGAGCCATGAATGGGGATATGGTGGCGATCCGGGCGTGGATGGGGACGTCAGGGGACACGGACATGGGTGGGGACACGTGGGGGACAGGGACATGGGGGGGACATGGGGTGAACTCCCAGGGAATGTGGAGGATGGTGGGTTTGATCCAGTTGAGGGTTCTTGGGAGGGACGTGGAGTGCCGTGTCATGGAAAGTGAAATTCCAAAGCACTTCGGTGTGTGCCATGGATCCAGAAGGGGAATTCCCAAGGCTCCCAGGGGCTGCTTCTGCCCCGCTTCCCAAGGGAGCTGTGGTGGGGCAGGTGGCAAGGTGCAGAAGCTGTGTGGTAGGCTACCAGAGCAGACAGCAGAGGTGGCTTTGCTGGACATTTTCCAGCCCATTCCCAGCTCAAAGCTGTGGGAAGTAGAAAAGGAAAGTGAGTCTCTGAGAGAATCCCAGAACGACTGCGAGGAAAAGGTGTGGAAGCCCCTGCTGTGGTTCCCCTGATGGTGGGACCGCTAAATCTCTGAAATTCCAATTCATCCCAAAATTTTAGAAGATCTCTACATAAACGAAGATTAAAAGCAGTGTCCTCCTAAGGATCAAATCTTCTCCAAAGAAGCAGAGTAATATTCCGTGTGCCCTAAGTATGAATATGTAGGGACCCTGGCCATGGGCTGCAGTCCCAGAGGGAAAGACACCTCTACGCCAGGGAAGGTGCAAATGAGACCACAGCACCAGAACCCACTGGTTCTATTGATCATGTATTTTACTGCAGATAGTATTGACCAGGAAATGTGAGGTAGAGAAATAGGAAAGAGGTCTCAGGGACATAAAGAATTAGGAAAGATCTCTGGCTCGTATTCGGCAGCTGCCGGGGAGACTCGCAGACCACAGCGCCTTTTCCAATTCCTGCCAGAGGATGCAATGACCAATTTCCTGTGAAACACAAGTCTAGTCTCCTGTGAAAATTTAAAAGTTTAATAAAGGACAATAGGAGACAACAACCATCGAGCAAAGATATTTTGCCCCTGCTGTGTCTTCACTCTTAGCCAAGAGCACCCCTGTTATTTGGGAAACATCCTTGAGATACCATTTGAAATGCATAAGTCTTTTCCATATTAATAAACAATTATGACATAAGTACAATTATATAATAATTATAAGTAAAGTTTATAAAATTCTAATAATTCTTAGAATAACTAATCAAAGTAAATTTTATTAAACTTAGATTTAGGAAAAATTGTACTTATAATGTATTTTCTATATTCCGAGAACTGTTTAGCATAGCTCCTCTTCGGTTCTGCCTTTTTAGGGCAAGCGGGTTCCCTGGTTATGGTTTTAGTCCATTTTTATCATAACCTTCAGGTTTGGACCTTAGTCTGTCCTGGTTTGTAAGATAAGCTTGTATTCTATTTGCCATCTGTTGGGGGTTGGGCAGGTTTGTTATCTCTTCCAAAGACAATGGTTTGCCCCGTAGAGGTAATGGTTTGTTTATACACCATTGACTGACTCACTGCAGGGCTGGTAAATGTAACACCATCCCATTGTGAGGTGTTCCACCCAGAGGGGGAAGCCAAGCACTCTTTTATGGTATAAAGTGGTAACTTTTTGGGGACAGAGCAGCTCTCTCTTTGGGGGATTTCCAGAGAAGCAGCTCCATGGGCGGCTCTCGCAGCGAAGCAGCCGGAGCGTGCTGAGGCAGCGGCGGCAGAGCTCGGAGGCGGCCCCGGCGCAGAGGAAGCCCGACCCGACTGCCACCAGATCTTCAGAGAAAACTATACCTTCTAAAGATCACCACTGCAGCTGCAATTCATCAGCCAATGCAAGAGGAGCAGCTGTCATTTCAACCGGACTGCTACCAACACCCCGACTCTTCAGGTTGTGGACTTTATCACTAGTTTTTATTTGTACCAATTGCATTTGCCTTTTTAAATTGTTGTCTAGTTTTCTCCTAGAAAAGAATTGTTACTCCCATTCCCATATCTTTGCCTGAGAGCCTTTTAATTTAAAGATCCTGGTAATTCGGAGGGAGGGGGGAGTTTGCCTTCTCCATTGCACAGGAGGCTTTGCCCTCTTTCACAGACTCCTGTCTTGTCAAACCAAGACAGATTTTGGCGCACCAACGTGGGGCCCGAGGGCATTGAGAGGGAAAAAGGATTAACAGTTCTTAAGTAATTTGGTTTTGTTTTTGTTGTTGTTGTGTGTAGAAACATCTTAAGCATCACCATGTGGTCTAGTTTACCTTGGTTTGGGTGGCATGTGATCGTAGCTATACTTTTCCCATTTGCAGACCCTTATCTAAAAATGGGTCCTATAACTAAGGCTACTGTGTCTGTTATCAAGTTTGGCTTCTGGGTTAATTGAGTAAGGAATTCATGGATCTTTAATTTCCTCTGGAAGGCAGGTACATGGATTCATAGCTATCACACACTAACTGTATGTTTTTGGGGTTACTTTAATAATGGTACCTACTGCGAGGAAATAGCACCTGGGGAAACTTTCTCCCAGCCTCTTAACCATCTTTTTGGGTCTGCTCCACCAGCTCTCAAAGGGTTAAGATCCTCTCTAAGTGCTAATGTGTCCTGGGTTGTAAGATAAGCTTGTATTCTATTTGCCATCTGTTGAAGGCAAACCTGTTGGACAGGTTTTGTTATCTTTTCCAAGAACCGGTTTTGCTCCTAAGAGGTAATGGTTCGTTAGTGGGCCATTGACTGATTCAATGCAGAGCTGGTAACATAACACCATCCTATTGTGAGATGTTCCACCCAGAGGGGGAAGCCAAGCACTCTTTTATTGGATATAAGGGGGTACCTTTTTGGGGACAGAGCAGCTCTTTACTTTGGGGGATTGCCAGAGAAGCAGCTCTCTTTGGCGGCACTCGCAGTGAAGCAGCCGGAGTGCGCTGAGGCGACGGCGGAGGAGCTCGGAGGCAACCCCGGCGCAGAGGAAGACCGGCCCCACTGCCACCAGATCTTCAGAGGAAAACTATACCCTTCTAAAGATCACCATTGCAGCTGCAATTCATCAACCACTGCAAGGGGATCAATCGTCCCAGCAGGACTGCTACTGGCACCCCGAATCCTCAGGTTCTGTACTTTTTCACTAGTTTTGTTTGTACCGATTGCATTTGCCTTTTTAAATTGTTGTCTAGTTTTCTCCTAGTAAAGAATTGTTACTCCCATTCCCATATCTTTGCCTGAGAGCCTTTTGATTTAAAACTCCTAGTAATTCGGAGGGAGGGGGTTTACCTTCTCCATTGCACAGGAGGCTTTAGCCCTCCTTCGCAGATTCCTGTCTTGTCGAACCTAGACATAATGATATCATACAATGGCTGGTGTTGCTGATCTGCCTGTTATATTTAGCACTCAGAGATAAGGGAAGATCAACCTGGATAACTACCCTCACACCTACACCAGAGGCTAGAGATGCTCCTGCAGAACCTGACACTGCCCCAGAGACTTGAGATGCTGCTACTCCAGAGCCTGACCCTGCCCCACAGCCCACCTCAGAAATGAACCGCCCAGATTGGGTGAGGGTTCTGGTTAAGGAGATACGAGAGATGCTGAAGGAGTGCATTTCCCCAGCTGGTGAGAAACCGGCCCTTTGCCTTGAGGAGGGACAGTCTAATAGTACAGCTGTGGAACCCACAGATGTTACAACTGTCCAGGTTCCAGCTGAACCACAAGGGCAGTCACAGCCAGCAGCAGTTGCCCCGGTAGAAACAAGGAAGTCTAAGATGAAAGCAGAGCATTCCCAACGTTTCTATATTCCAAGAACTGTTTAGCATAGCTCCTCTTCGGTTCTGCCTTTTTAGGGCAAGCGGGTTCCCTGGTTATGGTTTTAGTCCATTTTTATCATAACCTTCAG